AATTTGGTGTAAATACAGGAAATAAATGGAATTATCAATGGAGTGTGCTCAGAGAGGGTTTTTCAGGATTGTGACACTGCTGTGAATTCCAGAGGATGGCAGGGATCCCCTGATCCTCCCYGAGCTCAGCCCAGAGGAGGCTCTGCCCTCCCGAATGGAGCGCTGGAAAGCAAAAAAAAACCCTCATTTTTTTACAGCTCTGAAAAATCACTCTCAAGGAAGAAATCAAAATTCCCTGAACTCTCCCACGCTGAGTGAAAGGCAGGAAGGACGAGGCTGGAGGAGAAAAATTGTCCCAGGGTGAGCAGTGAGGATTTGGCTCCGTGCTGACAGGAATTGGCTGAGGGGGCACGAACAGAGAAGGAGCCTCACAGATTTATTCCCAAAGATTTCCCAACACAAACCCAGGGAYGGCTGCAAATGTCCCCGCGGCCACAGGATGGTGCCAGTCCCTCACGGACTGAAGGGAAACACCAACCCCAGCCCGAGAAACGCTGCCCTGAGGAGCCGAAAGTGAAATGAAATCCAACCATCGGGGCTGCACTGCTGCTGCTCTGGGGAATCCCAACAGCAGCACCCCCTGCCCACAGCGTCTGCAGCTTTCCTGCAGCTTTTCCTTGGTTTCTGTTATTAAAAATAGGGAGTTTGGGAATGAGTACAGAAAAATCTGCAGAGAGCCCCTGGTGGAAGTTTTAATGAGTGCCCAGCAGAAGGGAGGAGCAGCCCCAGCGTGGCCAGGCCCGATGGAGCTCCAGGAGTGCCTGAGGCTGCTCCCGAGGCTCCTCATCCTCACAGGAGCACAGCCAGGGGGAGAATGCAGCACACAGAGCCTGCCTGGACAGAGCCCAGCTCTCCTGAGCTCAGCCCAACCCCTCTGCTCTTCCGTTTGGGATATTCTGGAGTGACCCCGTCCGTTCCCGAAGCTGCTCCTCTGCCATCCCAAATCCTCTGTCCACGTCCCAGACATTCCTACTTGGCCTCCTCGTGCTGCTGAGAGGGATCCAGGGCTGGGCCAGGAATCAGCACCGTCTGGAAAGGAAGGGCAAGAGATCAGCACGAGGCAGAGAGGGAAAAACGGGGAGCGGGGGGTCTGGAATGGGAAAAACGGGGAGCAGGGGGGTCTGGAATGGGAAAAACGGGGAGCAGGGGGTCCAGAACGGGAAAAACGGGGAGCAGGGGGTTCTGGAATGGGAAAAACGGGGAGCAGGGGGTCCAGAATGGGAAAAACAGGGAGGAGGAGGTTCTGGAATGGGAAAAACAGGGAGCAGGGGGTTCCAAAATGGGAAAAACGGGGAGCAGGGGATTCTAGAACAGGAAAAATGGGGAGCAGGGGGTTCTGAAACAGGAAAAACGGGGAGCAGGGGGTCTGGAATGGGAAAAACGGGGAGCAGCCCCCCATTCCAATCCCTGAGCCCCCCATTCCAGCCCCCAGGTGCTCCAGGGGTCGATTCCCCGGCGTCTGAACCCCCAGCTCCCCGCCAGGCAGCTCAGCCCAGCTCAGCTCAGCTCAGCTCAGCCCAGCTCAGCTCAGCTCAGCTCAGCCCAGCTCAGCCCAGCCCAGCTCAGCTCAGCTCAGCTCAGCTCAGCTCAGCTCAGCTCAGTTCAGTTCATCTCAGCTCAGCTCAGCTCAGCTCAGCTCAGCTCAGTTCATCTCAGCTCAGCTCAGCTCAGTTCA